CCCCCCCCGGCCCCTTGCCCCCCCCCCCCCCCGCCGCCGCCGTCGTTCCTGAACCCACCCCTGCACCGTACCCGTCACCCCCCTCCCGGTGGAACACTTGAGCCCTCAAGCTCAAATGGTTCCAAACGCCGTGGGCGGCGGCTGCATCAGCGGCTACCGCCCGCGAGAGACTCGACCCGCAGGCCACGCTGCCGCTGCCGCCCTTGCCGCCGGATTTTGGTTGCCCTCCGGGTGTTGCTGCCTTCCTTGGTCCCTTGGTGCCTTTGCGTCTGTTGGTGCTGCTGCCGTCGCTTCCGCTTCCCGCCGTGTGGTACGATTGCCCGGAGCCCCCAATCACGCATGAGATAGGAACCTTCCGTTGGTTGATGGCGGCGACCGACAAAAGAGGGGGGAGAGGGGGGGAAGGAGAGGGTGTACTCAAAGTCGTGCATGCCGTAGTCGTCATTAGATCATTGACCTCGCATCCCTACAAAGCCGGGACGGAGCACGCCGGGTTCTCACCGGACCAGGCTCTCACATCACCAAGCGCGAAGCACCGTGAGGTATTCGGCGAGTCGCATGAAGGGTGTGCTTCATCCTGCTTCGGGTGTTCGGCGTCTTGTGCGTACTTCCTTGCATACGGATTACAGCTGCGTATGACTTACTTTATTTTCTGGTGCTTCCACTTCCAGAGACAGTAATAAGCACTGTGTAACTGCCTCCGCGTGGGTGCTTGACCAATTTTACACAACGTGGTGCGATCATTTCCTTCGCTCGGAGTGAAGGTTCTCGACCCCAAACAACATAATCTACTCGACCACCACTATGGTTACCGCCAAAAAAAAAACAGAGGCAAGAAACAAAGCCGTAACCTGGTTGCCAAGCTCATGCGGTGATCGGCTTGTTTTACAACGTCGTTGCCACGCGACGAAAACCCGACCCCGATGTCAAACACCGGGGTAGGGGGGGAGATGGAGATGATTAAAAGGTTTCGCGGTAGGAACGAAACCGTGCCAGAAAAGCTTGAGAGGGAAGCAGATGAATGTCAAAGGGATGAAATCTTGCCTACAGACACGTTGTCAGCACCATCAGCAGTTTGATCCAAGAAGCCGCAGAATACCATACAACTTTCATAGCCGACGGGTACAATCCACCCGCAATTCGAGACTGTAGCCGAACGCGGCGGGGAGAACTGCGGCTTAGTCGACCGGGCTGGGCGGGGGCAGCGGACCAAGAAGCGGCCAGCGGGGGGGGCGGACCGTGAAGCCCTCAAAGATCTGCGCTGCTGCATTTTTGGAAAAACCCCACGTTGGCGACGGGGTGAATTCGAGTTCGGCTTTTGCCACATATCAATTCGTGTGCTGCTACAGTGTTGTCGTTGTGTTCGTTCTATACCGCAAAGTGCTTGAGATATGCGCACAAGCCTCACACCCCAGTTTCTTCACACTAGGGACGAGTTAAAAAGAGGAGAGGCTGACAAGATTTTTTGGAGAGACAGCCTATTGCTACACCAGATGATACCGTCCGCTCGGTGGTCGAGATGTAGGGACCTTCGAACAAAGACCCGCACTGCTGTGTGCGGGGGGGGGGGGGGG